CTCAGAAATAGCTAGTACATTTAACAAGTAATTATAAAGTAATGGTAAGTAACACTGAATTAAATATGGAAATTTGATGTAAAAACTAAACTAAAATAGTAGTTCCTTGTAAAATATGCTCCAATAATCTTTGTTTTATTTACAGCTTCAAAATATAATTTTTATAGTGTATCAAAATAACAAAAGCTGTCATGTAAAGCTTGTATTTTTCATTTCCATATATATATATGTTTTCCAGCGCTGTTTCCCAATACATCATGTAGCTTAAATGTTTGTGCTTTGACTTTCATTGGGTTTGTCTGTTTGGTTTTGGCCGGAGTTGGGAAATCTAATCTCATGATTTGGGAATTGTATGATCCGTGTTTTGTGGAATGTTCTCACACACCCATGAGCCTGATGTGACATTGATATACTGTAGAGCGGGGAGTGATTTAACTTATTTTGTTTGAATCTCTGCGTTTAGTTTGCTCTAAGTGTCTCAAACTTTGATATAATATTCCCACATGTGTCTGTTTCAAATTAAGCGTGCTCTGAAATCAACGACTTACCCTAAAACTGTGTAAATGCACGTCAAGTACAACTAATGCTGTTGGTTTTTGTTTTATAAATCTTTATATTTTGAACTCCAAAGGTTGATGCTCATGTTTGGGTGATTTCACTCCTGTAGCTCATTTCTGAATGTTAATGTAACTGCATACAAAACCAGTATCAATGACTGGATGATAGAAATGATAGGAAAAGCACTGGACAAACAGTTGCCAAATAAGATGAACTCTTCACAAACGTATGTTCAGATAACATACATCGCACTAAAAACTGTGTAAATGTCATTGCAATACATAGTAAAATAATTACACCAAATATCATCTCTGCAGACAAAAGATCATAAGCTACTGCTTTTCTTAGATATCATTTCATCTTTTCCAGCTGAAAACTGTTTAAAAGTCTCTAAAGCACAGCTGGTTTAGTTGATCGACCACATACAAGTGCCAAACCCCCTCTAAATTAGACCAGTTTACAAAAGGGGCTTTTACACCGGACGAACATTTCCATAGTTCCTGTTTCGTGTGCGTTTGGAAAATCAGCGTACATTTACGTCACTGGTAGTTCCTATAGATCTGTTTAGACCCTACTATGAAGCAGGCGCTAATTTAGGTGCCCCAAACTGGAAACGAAGTTCCAGTGCAAAAACGACAAAAAGCGGGTACTTCCGCCAGTAGTTCTAAGAACTATGAAAAGGTTCCTTCGGTGCAGAAGCCCCTCTTCAGAGCAGGGTCTGAAAGCCATGTAAAAATAAAGAAATTGGAAATTGGTTCTCTGGTTCTCTAGGAACCACCCTGCTGGCTAATTCCTAGAACTACACGGTGCGAAAGTCCCTACATTTTTGCTCAATATGTTGGAATCAGCTGGTGTTTTGGTGATTTGTAGTGGATGTAGAGTATGAAGTTCACATTAACATCACATTAACTATGAACAAAAGTGCTTGAGCTATCTTTCATTTCAAACAAAAACTATTTGCTTTGGTATTTTGTATTATATTTATATTAATAAATCTTTTTAAACTGAATCTAATGTGTTGGTCTCAAAATTGTAAATTTTTGAGCTACATATAAACTTTCATAAGGTTCAATCCTGGCTAACAAAAATATGTTCCAAGGTTGTTTTGCTAACATGCTCCATTAAGTTATAGAGGTTTTTTTTTTTTTTTTTTTTCTTGGTTATGTGAATTTAAAGATTACAAAAAAAAAAATTACATGTCATTTTTTTTTAATAAAAAAACAAAAACAAAAAAAAACTGTGTCTTTCTCTTTATTTATTCCTTCCTTTTCTAGCTTGTACTGATTTAGACAATGCCTGTAACTTGGTATTGACTGTTTGCCTCTTTAAGATGAATCACTTTATGTATTCCCCAATTGTAAGTCGCTTTGCATAAAAGCGTCTGCAAAATGACTAAATGTAAATGTAAATGTAAAGACGACATTAAGGGAATGTTCCAGTTTATTATTTTGAAAATATTATGGGAATGTTACTTTTGTATGATTTCTAAACCATCTGATACTAGTAACGTAAAACATTAGACGAACATCCAACTAAACTGTCTTAAAAAACTTTCCATGTATGATGTATAAATACTGTTGTTGTGCTAACATTTTCAAAAAGTTATTAAAGACTGGATAACTTTGAACGAACTGTCTGTTAATGGTACTGGAAGAATGTTTGTTCATAACCTTATGTTAACCATCTAAATTAGACCAGCTGACACATCTTACTGTTCAGCTGAGACCAACAAACCACCTTAGACTGGTTTAAGCAGGACGTTTTGTCCAAGCATGAGTCATTTTTTGTCAGTGTATTTTGCTCAATGATATTTAGTGCATGTATGAACTGTTTTTCATCCAAACAAAATGCACTTGCTTTGGAATGTTGCATTATATTTATATTTAAACAATGCAATTGTAGTTTTTGTCTTTTTGTTTTTTTCATTTTTGAGCTATTTATATAATGATTTACTATATGTGATTGCAGTTTGCATGGATATCATCTGCAAATAAAAGCTGATATGGTCTATAAGATTGAGACATCTTCAATTTATCTAAGTACAACATCCAAGTGCATGCTAAAATATGCATGTTTTACAGTTAAACACACAAATTAATCTTTATGTGCCTTTCTCTGAATGTAACATAATAATTTCATCTTTTCAAGCTGAAACTGGTTAAGTCTTGCTAAATTGTTCAGCTGTTTTAGTTGATCAGTCGCATGGTCTCCAAGCCTGGCATGTGCCAAAAACCCCTCAGCTTAAGCTTAGTGGTCAAACCTGGTTTAAGCAGGACGTTTTGTCCAATCATGAGTCATTTTTGCTCAATGATTTTAGTGCATGTATGAAGCCAGTTTTCCTCATGTTCGTCACTCAAATAAAATACACTTGCTTTGGTATTTCGTATCTAATGCAATGACATTTAGACTTCAGTGTCAAAAAAATTGCCTGGCTTTATATCCAACCTACACTGTAAAAAAAAATATTTTGAAGTTGTAAATAAAGATCACTGGAGTATAGTATGTTTTACAAGGAAATACTATTTCAGTCTTTCTACTCTAACCCCGTTCCTTTGCAATTACTGCATGTATGAAATATACTAGCAATTTCTGAGAGAAACTGTTTTGAATTGAATCCCACACAAACATTTCTTCAGTGCACGCCACACACACACGCGCACACACACACACACACACACACACACACACACACACACACACACGTTCAACAGTTACTGCAGCCTCTAAATAAGCAAGCCACAACTTCAGGTTACTTACACAAGAAAAACCTATTGAATTTAAGGCCATCGCTTTTGTCAGCACTAAACTGATTTGCATTTGCATTGCATATGTATTCTTGTATACGCTATTGCATGCTATTATATTATGGCTCACTACACAACAGCAGGAATACATATACTGTATACTGTACATAGACGTGGACCAACATCAACAGCAGACATTCACACCAGATGCTCACGGGGATTGAGCCCTTGGAGAACAACCATAAGACAACATGCTCACAGCTGAGACCACAGGGAAAAGACAAAATAATCTTATTTTAGAAATGCACAAAACACTGCTTGTACACACATCCTGCAGGTCCATTTCAGTGCTTCTAAGTCCCCAATATTCCAGCGTTCCTGCATTATTCACCGCCAAACTTTTGCCAAAATCAATGTGCATGTTTAATTTATTTGAAAAGTACTTCACAAAAATCAAACATCATCATCACAACCATGCAACATCCGGCTTTGCCTGCCATCAGGACGAGCAACAAATGTCATTTTAAGCCAAATGCAACTGTACTGTGGGATCAAACACATTATGACTACATTATCTTATCCTTTCAAACATTCGCTCATCTTCTGCATTATGTCCCTACCACGGTAATCTGCTTTTACTGGGTGAAGCCCTCAAATGTGATTACTTCACAACAGATAACAAAGAGAAAAAAGCCTATATATGCCACAGCATGGAGTATGAATTAAAGCTACACTATGGCCTTAAGGACTCCATAAATCCAAAGCTAAACAGAGGCTCATCCTACTGAGTGAGTAGGGCCACCTACTGGGGCTGTTGATATTGCACGAGTGGGCTTTAATTGAAGGCAGAGCTGCAAAACTCTTACAATGTGGGTAAATCTCTGTCAAGAGTTTATGAGTTGCATCATAATGCACAGATTTACAAACAACTGGTCATTTTTTTGTGAGTGTGTGAAAAAGTTGCATTAATGAAGATGGCTGATGGTACTGTGTTACCGAAGAAAACCTGTAGGTTTGTCTTTCTTGTGTGGTTTTCAGTAACATTTTCAGTCAATCTCAGAAGAAAATCTTGGTTTTGCTCATTTGGATCTGTATTAATTTGACAAGATTTCTGCATGTTAACGTGCAGATAGTTTTACAAAAGTTAAATAAATGGACCTCAAAATTGCATTTACTTTTTAAGCTGAATGCAAATGTAGTTTGGCCTCAGAATTGCTCGTTTTGAGCTATGTATATGGATTTGCATTGACAGTTTAAATAATAATACAAAATGTAACTTTTTTTAAGTAGGTATATATGGGAAAGGTTGAGACTTTTTCAACTTCTCCAAGTCGTGCATACTCAGAAATGCATAGGTTTAACATTTAAGCACACAAATTATGCCCAATATCTGTTCAATAACATGCATAAGCTAAATGACCTAACGCCGTCTATATATCCATAGATACTGAAGACAACTGTGGTAGTAAACGTTTTTAAAGATCAAGTCACCAAATCCCCGAATTACTGAGCTCAGATTTTCTCGTTCATTACATGTAAATCATCCGCAAATCAGCACTGATCAAGCCCATTAATGATCAATAGGACCTGAAGCATGAGCACGGACTGTTCTCCGCCCGAGTCTAACTGAAATGTAAGCAGAAATGCGCTTTTCGCCCGAGTTTGTGATGTGGCACGATGTTGGCACCTCGTCCTCACCTGATATCTCCTGGTGTGGCACATTATGGAGACTGAAGCCTTTGGTCGTGAAAGCCTGGAGCACATCGCTGCAGCTGCGCGATTTTACATCTCCAGCACATGACAGCGACAATAGCAGCGATAAAGAAGTGAAAACCACGACAGGTGTCTTCAACATCCCTCCTGTGCGCAAATCCAGCCGATGCGGTAGACAAATGTTTAAATCATTCAATCGCTCATCAATGATCAATCACGCTTTCTGTCGCATCCGGCTCATAGCAGAATTCTCCGACGGATCCGCTCAGAACGAACGCGCGTGTGATTAGAACAGCGAAACCTCCAGAAGAGATCCGGAGCGGCGCGCTCTCAACTTCTGCTGTGTGTTTCTATCAGCGGAGAGAAAGTAGCAATCCTCCCTCTCTCTCTCTCTCTCTCTCTCTGTCTCTCTCTCAATTTTTTCAATTTTTCAATTTAAGAGTGCTTTATTGGCATGACAAAAATGATACATTTGTATTGCACCTATTTATAAACGAATAAAACTAAAAAATAATACAATTATAATAAAAATAAAAAAATTAACTGTCTAAGTTTTACTCTTAATCTTTGTCACAAGATAATATAATGTTAATTTGATGTGAAATGAGATATCTTATACATCAGACGAAAAAAATACTTTTTCTAGTTTTGTCCATTGCTTGTCAATCAGTTGCTTTTTCCAGTAGTTAATGTCGAAAGAAAGAAAGAAAGAAAGAAAGAAAGAAAGAAAGAAAGAAAGAAAGGTGTCTCCCTCTCGCAGATAAACCGCACAGCCCAGTGGCCAGTATCAGAACAGAGAAAACACGGACTGGATTAGTGAAGGCTCATTGAGTTTTGCCTCGGAAGTTCCTGGATCTGGACTCTCTTGTTTCCAGCTGTCAGCATCTGATCTATTCGTCATGCTTTTCCCTTTTCTTATGCAATTCAATGGATTTTGTATGAGAAAATGTGCGCTAGGTGAGAAAAAGGAAAAACACGGACTGGATTCATGAGACTCATGGAGTTTTGCTTTAGGAGATGCTGAAGCAAACACTAGAACACATTTTACTGAAATAATATTAAATACACAACACTGTAAAATAAAAAAAAATACAATAAAAATACATTTAATAATTTTAGCTATTTTAATGATTCATAAAAATATGATTAAACAAATTGTTTATTAAAATTAATAAATATATGGAAAACATAAATGTGCATGACAAGAAGTTGTTTTTATTGTTTTAAGTGTTTGCATCAGTTGCTTTTTCCAGTAGTTAATGTCGAAAGAAAGAAAGAAAGAAAGAAAGGTGTCTCCCTCTCGCAGATAAACCGCACAGCCCAGTGGCCAGTATCAGAACAGAGAAAACACGGACTGGATTAGTGAAGGCTCATTGAGTTTTGCCTCGGAAGTTCCTGGATCTGGACTCTCTTGTTTCCAGCTGTCAGCATCTGATCTATTCGTCATGCTTTTCCCTTTTCTTATGCAATTCAATGGATTTTGTATGAGAAAATGTGCGCTAGATTGGCATGACAATAACTGATGCTGTGTATGGCCAAGGCAGTGCAAAATCACTAAAACAGCAAAGTAACAGTGAAAACAGTAAACAAGAAGTATAAAAAAATTATACAATTAGAGGGTAAAAAAAGGTATTTTAATTAATTAAAAATGATTAAAATTCTTCATTCACTTCAAAACCATGATATTTCCTATATAATTATGCATGACATCAACAAGACTGAACATTTTTACATTATTGTACTACATCCAATCCTTTATTTACTTTATTTATTTAATTATTGGATGAATGTTGTGCAATAGTGATAGTGTATGTTTCTGAATTCTGTCTTAATTGCCTTAATCTGCTTCAGTTAAAACACATTTTAATTACCTCTCTCATATCCTTTTCTTTCTCAATAGAAAGAAAAAAAAAGAAAGATGTAATGGCATATTCTGCATGTCATGGCTGTAGCCAGGGTTTGAAAATGAGTGAGGTCTGGGTGCATGGGAATTGTGCTATAATAACCCCACATACAACTCATTATATATGCTAAACACTTTAAAAGAGACAGATATGTAGATGTTTGTGAAAGATGTTTTCTCTGTTTTGGAGGAATGAGCATTGTTAAATTATATCACATTGCACCATTACTTTAGGTTAGGGCTATATAATTTTATCAGTTGTTTATTATTCATTAAGCAATACATAGGCCTATTACTGTTATAAGTTTTCATTAATAACCATTGCAATATAGATGATAACTTTGTCTAGTGCCCTTATGAATGTTGTTGGCATGACTGTGAAAATTTAATTACAATACAAAATAGCATAGACGTAACATACTTGTTCTACAGATCTCTGCACTAGTGTTATATGCTACTGTTTTGATAGTGTTGATAAAGTTTCTCACAGATAATATCATGATAATATATATATATTTTTTTTTGCGTTGGCCTTACCGAATGTGGTATGTCAGCAATAACATGTCTGTGGGCTCTTTTGATTACTATCAGTTTAAAGGGGTCATATGATGCAATTTCAAATTTTCCTTTATCTTTGGAGTGTTACAAGCTGTTCGTGCATAGATAAGATCCCTAAAGTTGCAAAGACTAAAGTCTCAAAGGTATTGTTGTTGCCCCCGCCACCCTGTCGTGAAGACGCCGTGTGTTTAATTGTGAAAACGAACCTACTTTGTTTGGCCTTCCAAAATAGGACGATATCCGCTTCGTCATGCCTAGAGCTGATCCGTGCTGGTCGCTGA